TGGAAATCCGATTTCGTCCAGATTTCATTCACCGTTTTGTTTTACAGGTATCGATCTATATAAGGATGTCTCTATTTTAATATTTTGAATGAATTTCCAAAGTGTTGCTCAGATTAATTTTACTTCAAATGATTTGTTTTCCTATTACAATTCTGTTTTCCACGCAATTGGATTCATGAACTAGAATATATTCTGACAGATCAATCAACTAATTTATTTATTTATTAGATATTCCTATTTTTACAAATTTCCAACAACAAAATCAAAAATCTGGAAATCCAATTTTGTCCAGATTTCATTCACCGTTTTGTTTTACAGGGTCGATCTATATAAGGAACTCTCTACTTTCATATATCAAGTGAATTCTGCCATTTTGTATAACTAAGTTCTATATATTAGGAACAATCTTAGTACAAGCATTGTTCAATTTTAAGAAGGATCGTAGTATATACATTGTTGGATTCTAGGAATAATCCCAGTTGAAACAGTTGAAATCCTTTAGACTCTTGATGGCATCCTGATGCAATCTTTAGAGATTTTGATAACATCCTGGTGAAATCTGTTCAAAATGTCGATTCAATCTTTGGAAAATCTTTAGAATTCTTGGTGAAATCCTTGGGAAATCTTCGTGAAATCTTCAGAAATCTCGACGAAATCCTTGAGAAATCTTTATAAATCTTGATGAAATCCTTAGGAAATCTTCAGAAATTTGGATGAAATCCTGGACAAGCATTTAGAAATCTTGATGAAATCCTTGGGAAATCTTCATAAATCTTGATGAAATCCTTGGGAAATCTTCATAAATCTGGATGACATCCTGGGGAAATCTTCAGAAATCTCGATGAAATGCTGAGGAAATCCTTAGAAATCTCGATGAAATCCTTGAGAAATCTTTAGAAATCTTGAGGAAAATTGGATGAAATTGTCAGAAATCTCTAGTAAATCTTTGAAAATTTTGAGAATGCTAGAATGAAATCAGTGTGAAATGTTGATTGAATCGTTGTGCAATCGAAACAGATTCAGCCAACTTCTGATGAAATCCGACTGTATTCTGTCGGAGCCTTACGTTATCAAGCGTTTCTCCGTGAAAGGATCCTGGTGGTTACGGCATTATCTGACAAACAGTTCCGACAGGATCCGATCGGATCCTTTCCGACGTAATCCGGTCCGGAATCCGTTAGTTAGGAATCCTATGAAATACGGTTGGGTTCCGATCGGATTTAGTTGGGAACCCGACGAATTCCGGTGTGATCCGACATCGGATCCGATAGTTTCCGGTAGGATCTACAGGTCGGATTGAATCACCTGGGTATTATTCATTATAATATATTTTCAAGAAAAAGTCTATATTACTTTAGGTTCTTTGAATCAGAATAGCAACAACAAATATTTTAATATAGCTAGTTCTACCTTATGGCGTGCATGTGTCATAATGATGAATATGAAAAAAAAAATATTGATAAGAATGAATACTCATACATGATCGATATGAAACGATGTTAAGTTTAAGAAAGAAAACAAAATAAAATCTTCTGTCTTTTTAAAAATCCTTTTACGAACATTTCTTAATCGGTCAAAACATCTGTGTAATCTTAGTTAAATATTGTTTATATTTCATGTTACTAAATAGTTTATTTTTCTTTTCACTATGATGAGACTAATAATATTCACTTTTTTCATCGGCTATTGTTTTAGAATAAAAAAATATTTATCTGATATCAGGCAACATTTCTCGTAAAAACTTTTTCTTATGATTCTTGATATGAATCCTTATAAAACAAGACGAATTTCTTGATTATTCAGTGATTGACAGCTTACATTTTCTTTCTCTTGCTGTCTTCGTCTTCTTTTAGCGTGTGCACACTACATATGAGAATGTATGTCATATACATTCGTAAACAAGATATAGAAAACAGAAGATAACAATTTATAAAATAAGCTAGAATTTCTCATGATCAATCATCGAGATGAAGAAAATTTAGTAGTTCATGAAAAATTATGCGACGTCTACTCAAAAATATCTGTTCTATCTCATATAAAAATTAGTGGAAAAAAAATATGAATTTTTTTTCTTGTGTCGAATTTTTTCGAAAAAACAGAATCAACATAAAAGACTAAAAATCTAATTATTATTCATAATTATGATATTGATTTTTTCTTGACATCAATAGACATTCACATGTTGAAAAATTCGATTTAATGAAATATATTTGTGTGAGTTAAAAAAGAATTTGTCTTATGATGAAAGGTGATAACATTATATTTGAATATCGACTCTACAGAATTAACCTTGATTAAAAAAACAAGAACAACATACAAGACAGAACAGATACGAATAATTCGCATATAGCTGAGTGGCTAAAGAGCGTGGGATAACGCGTTATTGGTTCGAATCCAGTGCGAAGCAGTTATTTTTTTTGTTCTTTACGTGTTTTTCCATAGAATGTTGTTAAAATATTTTTGGCTTATGATCAGAGGTACTCTTTCGAGATCTCAACATGGATGGGGATAATTGACCACGCTGAATCCGAATATGTTAATTTTATAAAAAAAAGATTTTTCAATATAAATTAAACATAAGAACGTTTTAGAGAACAAAAAATATTTTATTCGTTTAATAAATCATGGAATTTCAAAACTAATTTAATACTCAGAATTTATGAAATTTTTATTATATAGTTAAATCTTTAAATAATATTTCAATTATGAATTATTCTCGTGAAGAACGTTATGCACTCTTCTGAACATATATACAGAAATTTTTTCTTTTCGTTCTGTCGTTCGTATATATATATATATATGTGTATACGCGTATGACAGAACGAAAGACAAAACTGAAGAAGGAATAAAAAAGTTTTTCTTGCAGGGAATTTTGTTTTAAAAATTTTTACTTGGGACTAAAGTATACCCCGCGCTCATATTCTATGGTAATACTCAGTTTTTTGCGCTCTTTCTAACGATACCAATCTTATGCATTAGACTTTGAGAAAATCTTTTTCGACGGTTTGATATGCCACACCCACCCACACCCTCAAGCATCAATTAAGTCACTACCCTGTTTCATGTTATTACTATGATTTTCTAGAAATATGTCTATCGATTTGAAGATAATATTTTGTATTTATTTTAAAAGCAGATAAGTCTATTTATTTTATTTCTAACTACATAAACAAAAAAGTATGTTAATATGTTAAGTAAAGATAATTT